ACTTGGCTCATCATGGCAGAACTTCTCCTTGAGTAGTTCGGGGTCTTCCTGGCCCAGCAGCAGTGGATATGTAGGAAGTAGTGCCACAGAAGGGGGAGCAAATGCTAGGAACCAGAGCTGTCTGACCACTGAGGTTGACAACCCCATGCTTCTGTTCTCTGGCAAAAACATAAAGCAAGACTTGCATGTCTCTAGCACTGTTAATTCCTATACAGTCCCAAGACTGACAACACCTGCCACTTCCTCCTCCAATGTGAGTAGTGATTCAGAAAAGTTTGAAGAAATCCAAGCTGGAATAGAGACACTGGCCACTGAGGAGGATTGGATGACTGATGCTACTGGTGTTATGCAGAAACCATTCATAGCTGATAGAGAACCACAATCTTTATCCCAGCTAACTCTCATAACATCCTCCAGCTCTCTCAGTGACAGTTTCAGTTCCCAATCATCATGGGAGAAAATTTCAACAGACCTGTGCTCCCCCACAAACAAAAAACCTCAGCTTTCTGGCCAATCAAAAGCAGGAACCAGCCAAAACAGCAAGTCATCCGAGTCTGATGGGAGCTTCTTCCTCTTAGAAAAACCTGATTCTGAAACCACTGATTCAGGTCATGAGCCGATGAACAAGGAACACATATCTAGAAGGGAATCCAGAGTTTTGTCCAAGCCAGAAAACATGGAAATGAATGTTGACCCGAATAGGGATACTGAAACTGACTCTGTATCTGTAGAACCCAATACTAAGAGCTCTTTAGCAACACCAAACCCAAACCTTTCCCAGTGTGCCTCAACTGAAACTTCCACAGATGGTTCATTTGACATAGTAGAGATGAATGAAGTCTCTTCCGCAGAAAAAGTGAATGTTCCTCAAAGGAGGAGCCCCTTGTGCTACAGCTGCCTAAATCCGAGCACCTTGGGTGGTGTTGCCCTTAAGAGACCATATTTGTTGTCACAGAAGGATTACCAAGCCCTACTGGCTGGTGTTTGCCACAATTGTCTGATGAAGAGGTTGCACAGTGATGAGACAAAATTCAAACTTAAAGAGCACAGAGCTGTGTACAGTAAGTATTAAGTACTATTGTTGAAATTTGTCTTCATTGTTTTATTTTAGGGATGTTATGTATGGTAGGTATGGGAGTCGACATTCATGGTGCCCAGAAGATGAATTGTAATGACTGGTTATTATGACCCCCTTGTTATTCATTCAGCTTCACTAGCTGATCAAAGTTTTCACTCATTCAGTAAAATGTAGATCTGCCTGGTGGATTGGAAATTTTGTACAAATATTTATTATTTCACTACAAAATAATTAATTGTCTTTGGTAGTTACTGACTGTATTTTTAACAAAATAATACTGTTGCAATATGTGAAATATCCGAGCCCAGCCGTGTCTAAAGCAGTACATAAAACTTGGATTGTAACGGTCTCTGAATATCAAAACCACTAGGTGCTCTTCATTTGAAGTTTTCCAAAGCACAAGGACTGTGGACAGCAAGGGAGACCAGCATTTACATCGGAGAGCCAATGGGGATGGAGGGAAAGCAGAGAACAGCAATATGGGTGCAGTTTTTACACCAAGAGGAGCGGTTAAGCAAGTACGCATGCTGCACATTCTACACACAACCTGACTATGATGACTTTTAGGTCTCATTCTGTCTGTGCATTAATGTCTGTAGTTACGTCGGGAAGGACTACCTGAAGCCGAAGCAGATCCAGTTTCACCTGAGAGATGTGGAGAGGCAGATGACAGCCCAGTACTATGTGACAGAATTCAATAAGAGTCTCTACGATAAAGATGTCATGGCTCAGATCTACTTCATTCCTTCAGAAGCACTGTTGGTGAGGCCGAATAATAAAGATGAATATGAACAAAAAGTGCATGCCAAACATAAAAAAGATGAGGAGGTGGAGAAATAGCAGTTACAATAATATTAAATTTACCTCATTCACATAAAAGTACTTCAGTAGGACCCCTTACATATATAGCACTAACACTGGAGACAGCAGAGTGTAGGATTGAAGCAGTTTTGTTCAAAACTCTTGTGTAATTCTCCAGTACACCCTTAGGTTAACTGCCATTAATATAGAAGGAACTATAAGATGTTGAATGGGGAAAATAGGGATTTATCACCATATCGCTTATTAATATAAACATTTGCTTTGTGATATTGTGTCTCCATGTCAGATCAAATCCTACCAAATAAAATAATTTGATATGTCCTTCATTGATTTACCTTTTCAGCATAAATGCTAGTTCTGAGTGTAAAGTCTATAAACAGTATGTAGTAAGACTACAGTGCTCCGTTTAGAGTTCTGGGTGTTGCCAAAACAGTTGTTACCTTATTCCAAACTAATGTTTAATCACCTCTAGAGAAAATAAACCTTCAGTTGTACAAATACATATAACTGTAGTTTTGTGTACATTTCAAAATAACACTCAGCCTGTCCTCTTGTGAATAGATTTTGGATGGCGATGAGATCATGGGGTGTGTGTCAGTAGAGCCCTACATGCTCGGAGACTTTGTCAAACTGACCAACAACACGATAAAGAAGGACCAGAGTTTCCAGGCTACAAAATATGGCCTGGCCTTTGGACACTTCACCTACTTATTCTCTGACTACCAGGAAGTTGTTGTAGATCTGCAAGGTGTGTATGTGTGCACCAATGTGTGTGATGATTCCCCCACAGCCTGTGCATTCTTGTCATTTTGAAAAGATGTGACTGTCATTCATCTTTTCTTTTTTTTTTTACAGGATGGGTGACAGCCAATGGCAAAGGGCTTACCTACCTCACTGACCCCCAGATCCACTCCACCAAGACCCCTCGGGGCCCCTCCAACTTTGCCGACAGAGGCCTCAGGTACTTCCTGGAAGAGCAACACGGACCCGAATGTAATGGCATCTGCCAGCTGCTTAAATTACCTCCAGTTGTCCGAAAGCCACCTAGAAACATTGAGAAATGACACATATTTAATGTTTGATTCCAAAGTTTAGTGAAAAGATTGTCTTTTAGCTTTTAAACTAAATATGAGTAGAATACATTTCATGCAATTTTACAGGTTTTCATAGTTTTTTTTTTTACCTAAATCTGATACGAATGATTTATTTGCAGCATCCCAATCCTGGTTAAAGAAGACACTCTGAGGGGTGTGAGTTGTACAATTAAAATCTGATATAGAAGGGAACTAAAACATTTTTTAAGAAGGGAACTAAAACTAACATTTTTGTTGTATTGAATTGACACAATTAATTAACTGTATTTGTTCACTGGATTATGCAAAAACTATTAAAATTAATTTTAACCAAACTTGTTGGGAGTGATGGGCCTAGAGTGAGTTTTTTTGGTTAGAGAATATAGCATATATAGTTATACTATATATATAGTTTCTTGTCAGGGTTGTTGTTTGAAAATGCAACATTTTGTGATATAGCTTCTAAATTAATAATAAATTAGTATTAACTGTTTGTTAATGACACACGACACAGCGGATGCCTCCACACATTTAAACTTTTGTAGACTTGAAAAAAAACAATCCCATGCTCTTGCATATGCACACACATAAAAATAATAATTGTTGAATTCCTCCACATTCCTACACTTCACACAACTCCATTAGGAAAATAATTCCTCTGAGGGCTGAGGCATAGTGAGTTAGGTGAATAGCACAGAGCTAAATTCATTTTATATTATCCTATAAAATTACAAAAACATTCCAGATACAGCCTCACCTGCCCTCAGCTGTAAATCAGAAAAAAATACAACTGAAATAAAAAAATATGCTTCTGTTGCTTTGTTTTGGGGAAACATTTTTTGTATCTTTTGCTGTTTCTTGTATGTACTTGGATTGTTGTCTAACTGGAGTAGGAGTCACCTGACACAGTGACTCACCTGACATATCAGCACTGTGTAGATCTGACCTCACGTGGCTCTTGTGTAAGTTGTCTAACTATTTGTCCCCTTTTTAATTAATAATTCAACACTCTTTGTTTTGTAGGAGAATAAATAATCTTGCAGACATTGGTAATAACGTAGAAAACATGTTAAATGCAGACAAGTTGCAAATGTAAAAAAAGACAGTCTTCTTCACTCAACTATAATGGGGTTGTGATATGGTGAAAGTGCATCTGACAATAGTGAGACACTGTAGATGAAGAGAATTAAATGTCCTGTGCTACTTTAATCAGTGTAGTTCAGTCAGTCAGGTGACTAGTGTGGGCTTGTAGATAACATATTTTTTCAGATTTATCTGTGACCAACAAACATTCAATGTTCCGCCCAGGTGAATGTAACCAATGTTTTAATTCCTGATTCATAAAGATAATGATCATTTTATCTCTTTGTTATTCAAACTATAAAATTACAAAATAAAAAGGTCCGTGTCCTTAACTTCTTCTGTGTGAGTCAAATGCAATACTGGAAAACTTCACACATCACATCTTCATGTTCTTTACTTCACATTAGTAAAGAAGCATAATTATTTAATGAGGAAACACAGTGTGCCTTTGTTCAATAAAGTATATCAATGACAGAAGGCTTAGATGACATCCAGGTGCTCCAGTAATGAGTGCAGTCACACACACCTTCACATCATATGACTGTGATGTCATTCACGGGCTATCAGCACACACATGCCTCCTCTCCACTCCACGGAAAACTCCAGTTCTGGGTTTGAGGTTTTCCACCTCAGTTGAGACAAACAAAATTCTTCACCCCTGTCCCACTGAGCACAAGCACCCACAGACACTGTCTTTAGAAGCACTTTATCAAAGTGAGCATGACTAAATATATCTGACAGGTAATTGCATTCACTGCGTTTTAGGTGAAGATGTTATAGTTTTGGTTGAAAAATATGGGTAGATGATGTGTTTTTGTACACACAACTGTCTTCTCCATAGAAATATTCTTTACATAAAGTAGGACAGGTGTCATTTGAGGGAGGAGACACTGACTTTTACAGCTGATGTGAGCCTGATAACAGAAGCTTTTCACCCAAATGGATCAGGACTTTACTTTCAAAAGACTCAAAGGGTTATAAATAAAACCTGGAGGCTGCACTTTCTCCTGGAGCCTCAGTGTCAGTGTTTATAAGGAAGTAGCTTCTCACTCGAGCACCAGAGTGTCTGTCGTGTCCTGTGAACAGCAGCGAGGAAATCTCAAACATGAAAATCTTAGCAGTTTTTGCTTGTGTACTGGCAGGCTGCCTGGCCAAGAGGCCCCACCCATGCTGTAAGTAAAACACCAGATACAAGACAGATGTGTGTGTTAAAATGTAAACTGTATTTAAATAATCCAATATTATTCTTCTGTACGTTTTAATACAGCAAGTCCTCCTTTTCTGAGTGGAGCCCTCACTGTGGTGAGTGTTTGTTTGAGTGTTTTTTTAACCTGAGAACAAGTACAACATGTAAACTCACTCTTATTATCTGTCTCCAGTCCACACAGAATGAACAGCTGTGGTCCTACATCCAATACGAGTATGATGCACTGGGACAGAGAATACGGCTCAAGGAGCTGGGCACCTATCTCAATAAGAGCTTCACCTACGATGCTCTTCTGCTCTACAGAGAGGTAACCAGAGCAATGAGACTATTAACACATGAATGAGCTCCTGGTCGAAAGTGAAAAGTCAAAGGGAAATTAGCATTTAATTGAAATCAAAGCTCAGAGATCAGCACAATTATATTAGTGAATCAGGGGTAGCCTATATACAAATTCAGATGACATTATTATCTTTAATAATCATCTTTGATTTCAATGGGAGATCAGATGTACCATAAAGGGAAGTTCATGTGTATTTCAGTTAGTGCAGAGGGAATCAGAACTTTGTTTCATTTGTCTCCAAAACGTCTAATACGACCTTGCAAATATTTCTCACAGGTGTCACAATAACAAAACCACTCTCTTCAACTTACACGCTGAATAACCATTTGATCTGTAAACACATAGATTGATTATAATGACCATTGACCCTTGCCACAGAGCCCGACCCATGCACCCAAATATCATATGCATGTCACTTAAAAATTACATTCATTCGACATTCGTTGAATTGCTGCCATTTTAGGTCTTTTTGAAATGTATGGAGCTGCATACAACCACACAAAACTGCAGTGAAAAATATCCGACCTGAGGCACTGGCTTCCATCTGGCATTCTTTGGAGAAAAGTCATCCATCAAGTCCTCAAAAGTCCGACTCCCGGATGAATTCTGATTTAGTGACCACGAGTTACAGCATGTTCATCCTGGACATTTGCGAGGACTGCTCTCCCTCACAGTTGCTGAAAAGAAACATCAGATACCATCTTAATGGTTCAATGTATAGGCTTGATTTGACAACACATGCTAGAAACTGCTAATCTGTTCAAATGTTCAGACAATCTTGTAATAATGCAACAGTTTCAAATTCAATATCAACATAAAAATACTTAAAATATTAACACATTACAGCCTAATAGTAAATCTGAAGCCAACGGGCCCCATTGGCCCGGGGCAATGTGGTGATCTGTCATTGTATTACACAGCAATCTCTGTAAATTATTAGTGTAAATCAGTTGAGACAGGGTAAAAAAGTCAATTCAATTTTTATCCTTCAGGCTATCATGTATGAGATTAATGGCAACAACCGTACATGCAAGAAAAGGCCTTTGAAGGCAGACTTCCAGCCCATGGGAATCCCAAAAACTGCAACTCTGCTGGACCAGGCTGTCTTGGGCAGCTCGTCTGGACCTGGACAGGGACTCCTGATCAACACTTGGATTGGAGATCTGCCCGAAAAGCAAGGTGAGAGTGCATTTGATGGTTATAAGTTGTCTGTTCATTCCCATCACCTCCTTAACACCACCACTGTCATGTCTGTCCCTCCAGGAAAGTTCATGAGCACAGTTACTGAATTCGGATGCATTCCAGTCAGCACTGCGTACCACACTGACAATTTCGGATGGATGGTGACAAGGTACCGAAGGATTCAAATCAACTCCACAGCCAGAAACTTTTTCAATCCTGCCAGGTGTTCAATATGTCCCTGTCTTTCTGTTCACTAGCTTCTTCAACAACATCATTGGGATTTCGGACCCGGATCAGCTCAACCCTCCGGACTTCTGCCCAGATGCAGAAATGAAGGATGTTACAGAGGAGCCAGTCAACTTCTTCAGCTTGTTCCTTGAAAAATGATGAGGACCTCCTTTAACTCATGTCTCAAACTGTTTTTGTGATTTTAAATAAAAATCTGCATTGTAGCATCAACAGATAACTAAACTTGTCTTTCAGGCATACACAGTATTACTTCATTGAAAAATAAACCTGCCTCAGTTTTCTTGAACAACATGCCCCATGTGATCATGACTGTCAATTACTGATAAGTAAACAGTGCTAAGTTTTCATCAATAAAAATATAAGAATACTAACAATTGTGTCTCAGTGTCATGAAAATGTACAATACACGGAATCATAATATTAGGAAACATTAGAATTCACAGAATCTTCATTTACAGAGAAATGAACACCCCTAACATTTTTCCTCTTCAAATTAATTTCTAATACTCAAAGTTGAATTCTGATCATGTACAACGTCATAATAATATTATTAATAATTTTTCGAAAATGTTGATAATGGAGGATTTACAGTAGTGAAAGCACAATATATCATATTTCATGGATATTGATAGAGAGGGGCAGTAACATTCATTCAGACAGTCAAAACTCTGGAATGCCTTGATATTCTCCTCCCTCCATCAGTTCGTGTTGAAACAAAGATAAGGTTTTCCCGAGGAAATCATGTAGGCTTTGATCAGAGTCGAACAGGGAAACATCTATTTTATGGGAGAAATATATTTTGTCAACTCTTCACAGGTTTTCAATTTTAATTTGTTATTTTTTTATTTGGGATTTTTATTAAAGCGTCACCGTGTCACATGTTTACACTTTTCTCCTGTGGTGCTCAGAAACAGGAATGATGAGAGTACAAGAGGGAAATGAAACTTCTCTCCTCTGCAGTGAAATTAAAACTAAGTTTAATGCTGTGTGTCGCGGCCAGGATGAGGTAAGAGAATACAAGTGATGAAATAATATTTCAGGCCAGATTCCCCTTTTATTGTGACAGGACAGGTGTGGAAGCTGACAAAACCTGGCAGTGGATACAGCCTCATGCGCTCGTTTATAAGGAAGTGAACTCTGTGAAGCAGCAGCTTAACTTTCCTCCCTGTGTATCTGTCATCAGACAGCATGAGACTCCTCGCCCTGTTTGTGTGCCTGTCAGTGGGCTGCGTCGCTCAGAGACCAAAACAATGCAGTAAGTTGCCTTTACAACACCGCTAAAGTAAATGTGCATTTAATTTTGTTTTAATGGATGCTCCTGTCACAGCACTTCAAACTCTGAAAAATATGTGTATCTGTAGAAGGTCTAAATTGCGTGTATATGTGGAAGGTCTAAATTGCTATGTGACGTGAAGGCTCCTTTTAGGTTAAAACCTTTTCTTTGATTTTGTCAGCATCCCCTCCACTGCTGACCGGAGGCCTGTCTGTGGTAAGTCTTAACATCTTGTAATTATGCTACTGTGTAAATGCCAATTCTCTGACTAATAAATACATTTGAGTGTTTTCACTCACCCTTAAAAACTTACTGGATTATTATTTACAGTAGTCACAGCTGTAAAGTTGAATGAATAATATGATGAAGCATTTAAAGCTACAAAAATGTCTTAATTCCAAAGTCCTCCCAAAATGAGAAGCTGTTGGCTTTTGCTAAGTACAGCTATGATGCACTGAGACAGCGCATCCGCCTCACAGAGTCTGGGGTTTACAGAAATAAGACCTTCCAGCTTGATGTACTACTCCTCTACAGACAGGTAATGACAACACATCTGCTTTAGGAAATGTGATTTAAAGTTCAGCTCAGCATGTAATTCAGTCCTGTCCTGCAGCGTATTATGTATAAGATTAACTCCAAGAACCATACATGCTGCAAGAGGCCTCTGGATGTGAACTTCCACCCGCTGGCGATCCCACAGAACGCTTCCCTGCTGGCACAGGTTGTGTTGGGCAGCTCCTCCGGCCCGGGACAGGGAGTCCTGGTCAACACCTGGGTGGGAGAGCAGCAGATGAATGAGGGGAAAGGTATTGTAGAGGAAGTTAGAGGGAACAACAACAGAGGAATTCAAACTGAAAAATGTCATGTGGTGTATTGCAGCTCATGACTGTGATTGTTGCTTTGTTTGTGTCTTGTTTTTAATTTCTTTTTTCATGAACCTGCTTGTCTGGTTGCGCTGCCTCGGGTTCCTCGTGATCCGCCTCTCTATCTGCAGCAAAGTACATGAGCACTGTCACCGAATTTGGATGTATTCCTGTCAGCACCCTGTTTCACACCAGAAGAAATGGATGGATGGTGACCAGGTCAGTGCCAGATCAATGAACTATTCAGAAATACTATTTTCCACCAGACAGGTAATATGGCTTTTTTTGAATGTATGTAACTACTTTTAAAATGTCTGCTATGAGAAACACATACAACAATATAAGAAACTATTTGTGTTGTTTTAATATGCTGGACTAAAACTGCATGACCTCTGAGAGAGAGTAGTTTCCTTCTTCTCACCAATCTCTTTGCAATTATCTGCTTGTTAAGTGTGACATTGCAGGTGACGTAATATCCAGATCCAGGTTCAAACCTTCAGGTCACAAGCAAACAACAACAGCATCAGTTTCAGTAAAAATAAGGACTACGTTTAGTTTCAAGCTTTTTTTTCCAGCCGAGCAGGAGCACACCCAACTTGACATCATAATCCACTTAATTTCTGTCTTCACAGTTGGCATACACCGGAAAAAGACAAACTTTGTTGTGTCGTTCCATTTCATTCCTATTTATGAATACCATATTCAGTTCCTGTCACACTCAACAAGCAAAACTCTTCAGTATTGCAAGAGCTTATGGGACTTCTTGAGAGTTAGCCTGGTCTCACCATGTTTTCTACTTTGTGTTTCACCCACAGCTTTTTTAACAACATTGTCGGAATAGCTGACCCTCTGCAGCTCATCCCTCCACCTTTCTGCAAGGACGCGCAGCTGGAGGAAGAGGACGGACAGGGCCCAGCGACCTTCTTTAGCGTGTTTTAAAACACAAGGCTATACTTTAAAATGTATTGTGCATTGTGACTGTACACAACTCTGTGGTTTAAATTGATGCCATTTTTCAATCAGCTTTAAATAGTAAGTTTGTTGTGGGTTTAATATTCTTTAATATTTGTATAAACAACAGATTAAGTATCCTTTATGACAGAAGTCATTT